GGGTGGGCAAAAGAGAAAAAAAACTAACCAGTAGTTATTTTATCATGAATTTTTGTGGATATAAATCCACTTCTTCAGATGTAGCACAGAGTGATATTAAGGCCTCAAGTAAAAAAGCAGATTTATTGTTTTCAAACATCAGCACTAACTGACCACTATAAAGGTATGAAAAGCATGTATCTCCTCACCCAGCCCTTTGAAAATTTAGGGCAAGAGACACGATTTGCATCTTTCTGGATCTTATTACATTCTGTTCCACTCCTGTGTAAATATGCTTGCTGAAAGTCAGTTTGCTCGCATTCAGAACTCTCTCAGAATGCCTGAGGCCTTAATACTACTCAGTACTACATTTAAAAAAGTGGGTTTATATCCACAAAAGCTCATACTAAAATAAAAAACAGTTAATCTTAAAAGGTGCTTCCACATTTCTTTTTTCCCCCTTCTTTTTCGCCTGCCTTCCACCTTTTAAACTCTGTGTCAAACACCACTGCTTCAGAAATGAGGAAAATGTGATTATTTGCTTTTCAGTACAGGTTGTGATATAGGCTAGTATGATATTACCACAGATTTTCCACTAGCCTTGCTGAATGTGTCACTGAGCCTTCTCTTAGAAATTGCTCTTGTAATTTACAGTTAGAAACTGGTAGAACATATGAAGGGAAACTTTATATCTTAGGGTGCAATCCTATCTGCAAGTTACACCGTGTTTATACATGGAATCCTACTTATTTCTGGCTTACCACTCAGCCCATTAAACAGAATGATACTTCCATCAAATATGGATCAACTGAACTGGACTATAATGGTCTAAATGTGCATGGGACTATGCTACAAACCTGTTTCTTGTAAATGAGGCCCATGATTCATTTCAGCCTTTCCATAGTGATCAAACCTGTGGGGAGTGAGTTGGCTAGTAGATTTATGGTTCAATGTTTACTTGGGATGGATATTAAGGTACTAGAAGGGTACATCAATATGCCCTCATCTGAGTTAGTGTGAGAAGGGGTTATCTGTGGTCCAAAATTATGTTCTTGTTGAGAATACATTTTTCTTTTTTGCTTTAGACTAGAGAGGTTTCACCCTCTCCTCCAAAAGCTTCACTATCTTTTTATAATGCAAAAAAAAAAAAAAAGTTAGCAACAGCAGTGCATTATTCTGTCAGGTCTGCAAACGTAATTGTTCACAGTACAATGTACTCAAAAGGCAAACATGAATTACTTTTGCTAATGTATTTTTAAGACCTGATATTCTCATAGAAACACCAGGTACATCAAAGTGATCACATTATCAGTAAATAAATAAAAAGTGAGGTACCTGTTATCGCTTACAGAAAAGAAGGAACATGTGGAGCCCGCAACAAAATGTTGCAGCCCAGCGTGTTCTGACCAGGGTGTCTGTTACTTGATTTTCTTCCCCAGTTTTTTTCTGCCCCACGAATTTCAAGGCACACAACATGCCTTGGCGGGTTCCTCCACTTTGGGTATTCTCCTATTTTAGGGAGTAGAGTGAATAGATTTGTGCCTAATCCTAGTTGCATTAAAATTCTTTTGATTTTTACATCATTGTCTATGGGCAGCAGTCATTTCTGTCCTTGAGAACAATTACAAATAGGTTCCTAATATGAACCAAGAAATACATTTGACAGTAAAAATTTCATAGTTTTTTTTACAGAAGACTCTCTTTGACTGCATCTACACTGCAGAAATAATCCATTTTGACACCACTTGACATAGCTCAATGCTATGGAATTATGGGGGTTGTAGTTTTGTAAAACACTACAATCCCTTCTCTATCAGAGAGCTCTGGTCCCCCAACAAACCAACATTCCGAGAATTCCACACAATGCAGCTATGGTAGTTAAAGTGGTGTCAGATTGGATTATTTCTGCATTGTGAATGCAGCCTTTATTTTTTTCCCACTTTTCCCTTTTCAGTCATTCCACTCAATTTTTCTTTGCAGCTGGTTATCATCCCTCCACCCCAGTCAACATATTATGCTGATGAGTTCTTACAGGGCCAATTTTTGTAAAGATACATGGCCTTTTACAAAACTCTAGAATTACCCCCAAATCTGCCGATCTCTAGTGCCATTTGAGCTGCAGGTCCATGAAAACAGGGAGACATCAGATAGTCTTTCCTGAACTGTTTTCATCCCCCCCCCCCATTATGTAGTATGCCCTCTCTTAAGAAGAGCTACATTGCAATATTTTATTTCTCCACTAGCATCTATGAAGAATGTTCAGTTCTTTTCCTGGAAACATCTTAAAATAGCTTCTCAATGTAAATCAGGAATTTTCCTATCCAGATTGTGACATTTCCACAATTTTATATGTATCTTCCATCTCCATCCTGTTTCTAGATACTCCATTTTATTCTTCTTTCCAACTATCCCCTTCCCCAGTTTCTAAGGAGGGTTAGTCCCTTTGGTTTTGTTTTTCTGAAAGTTGTTTTTGTTTGCTTTTGCAAGCTGAGGGTTACTGAAGTCTGCTTTTGTATGGATAGCACTATTTTTTCTCCATTTCCAAGCAAAGGGAGAATGGAACTGACATTAGAATGTAAGTCTGTGATACAACAGGTATGATATTTGTTGTCATTCTGTGCCTTCAAGCCATTTCTTACTTTTGGCAACCTTATGGTGACCCCATATTGACTTCCTCTGAGGCTGAGAGAATGTGACTTGCCCAAGATCACGCAGCGGGTTTCAATAGCCGAGTGGAAATTCAAACCGTGGTCTCTAGAGTCATAGTCCAAATGCTGAAACCACAAGTCATTCCTGACTTATGGCAACCCTAAGGTGAACCTATCACAGGGTTTTCTTGGCAAGTTTTTAAAGAAGGAATTTTCCATTGTCATCCTCTGAGGCTGAAAGAGTGTGACTTGCCCAAAATCACCCAGTGGGTTTCTGTGGCCAAAATGGGATTTGAACACTGGTCTCCAGAGTCACAGTCTGACACTCAAACCACTACACCACAATGACTCATGCTATTAGTCTGTGGTAATTGTACCTGTTATGTATGTGTAGGTTATATAAATGTTATTTTAATGTGTGGGTTATTCATGGTAAGCGCTAAAGCTTGGATTCTATTTAAAATTAAAGATTGAAATATATTCTAGATTAGAAACTATTCCCATAAAACAATTCTTTTAGAATGGTGATAACACTAGCGCTCCAGAAGAGGCTTTATTGGAACGAGTTTCATTATTACTTTGACTTCTTGAGAACTGATTCACTTCATACAATGTAAAATGGCACCAGCCACTCATGCCTCCAAATCACATATGGATTCATTATTCATTTGTAAACTGAGCACAAATCTTAGAATACAACCCACTGTATTTTCTATTTCCATTTATGGATGCGAGAGCTGGACAGTTAAGAAAATGGAAAAGAAGAAAATCAATGCATTTGAGATGTGGTGCTGGAGAAAAGTGTTGAGGATCCTGTGGACAGCTACAAAGACAAACAAATGGGTCAAGCCAGAAATCTGCCTGCAAGCCAAAATGACTAAACTGAAGCTACCGTACTTTGGTCACATCATGAGAAGGGAAGACTCATTGGAAAAAACAATAGTACTAGGAAAGGTGGAGGGAAGTAAAAAGAAAGAAAGAAAGGCTGCCTGCCAGATAGATAGACTCTATTAAAGAGGTCTCAGGTATGAAGTTCCAGGAACTAAGCAGAGCAGTGGAGGACAGGGAGTCTTGGAGATGTCTCATCCATGGGGTTGCCATTGAGATCAACTCAAGGGCAGTTAACAACAACAACAACAACAACTAATTGTCAGTTAATAGTTTTTATATATGTAGTTGCAAAACTTTGGAGTAACTAATCTTTGCACTCTCTCCAGCCCCTGCCAACAAACCCAATTTTCTGCATTTGGTTTTTCTTTTCAGTTCTTTCTCAATTCTGCACAATTCTTTAAACAGTCCAGTCTTGAATTTCACTGTGTTACTGTGAGCAATGGTTTTAAGTTTATCTTCTCCAAACTTTCACCATCTGCAAGTTTAATGAGTACACCATCTACTTCTTCATCCACTCATCCACGTAATGATGATGTTAAATGATACAAGACCAAACTTGAATGTGCAAAACACTGCTGGATACTTATTTTGCATCTTATCTTGATCCCATTATTGACACTCTTAAGTGTTTAGTCATTCAACCAATTACATATCTTTTTTATCATGGCTATTTTTTCTGAGTTCAGTTCAAGAACCATTTGGAAAACATATCAGTTGTGTTTTCTAATTAAGATAATTAGATTAGTTTTGTATGAACTATACTTACCACTATGTTCAGCTCATGGAGTTGGATTATGTTCAGCTCATGGATGATTAATTGTTTATCTGTTCTAAAATCGTCTCAGTTTCAGAAGTTAAATAACAATTTACTTCCTTTCTGTTCTCTTTACAAGACTGGGATGAGAATCATTCTTTTTAACTATGACAGTGTTCAGATATGGAAGCAAATATGGCCAGGTAATTCTTTCGCAATTATTGAGGTTTTCCTTTGTTAAATGGATTTGACTTGCAATCTTTGTTCTTTTCTATAGAGCTGCCTAAATGTGTCATCAGAATTATGTTTTTGTAAAGGCAAAAACAAAGTATTTTTCTTTCTTTCTTGCATTCTAACTCATTTAGAAAATATTGTTTCTGACAAATAACTGAAAGTTAAGTTATAAGTTTGCTTACCCAGTTCTCTTAAGCTTATTTGTGTGTATTACAATTATATCCCTCTTTTCCTTGAATGGAGAGCCAGCCAGTGATGTAGTGGTTTGACTGCTGGACTATGACTCCGGAGACCAGGGTTTGATTCCCCACTTGACTGTGGAGCCCAGTGGGTGACTTTGGGCAAGTCACACACTCTCAGCCTCAAGGGAAGGCAATGACAAAGCTCCCCTGAAGAAACTTGCCAAGAAAACCCCATGATAGGTTCACTTTACTGCCTCCTTAAATTCAAGGCACACAATTGTGATGTGCACTTTTTCTTTTCTTTCATTTGCGGCCACACCATGGACCCTTTTTGTCCCACAGCTGCCACCAATGTATGCAAAGAGACACTCCTTCACCAACCTTCTCTTCTAAAACTCTTTGGTATAACCTTTCTTGTATAAGGTTTAGTGGCGTGGATACTCATCCACACTGTAGACAAGTCTTTCATAAGGTAACAACAAAACTTTATTTACAAGTAACAATGTTTCCCTTGGTCTTGCTGCACTTGTTATAATTGGGTACAATTACAAATAATAATACTATAAAACACTCCTTTCCTTGGAACACTTTCAATTTCCCCTGCCACAGGACACTCTTGGCCCTTCTTTGGGTACTTTTACCACTATTTCTTAATCAGCCTCTAAGACCATCAATACCCCCAGGATATTCTCCTTATTAACTCCTTCACTTGGAGCTTAGTATGTGTATTAGGCCCCTCTCTCACTTCTGGCCCTTAACCCTCTTTCACTCTGGAGCCTTCACCACCAGACCCTCATTCTCTGGAATCTAAACCCTATCTGACCTCCATCTATTCCTAATGGAATTTCCCCTCTTACAGCCCAACACTCTATTGTAGGGGTAGGCAACCTTTTTGAGCCGGGGGCCAGTCCCGCGAAGTCCTCTCCGCCACTGGGCTGAGGGGGGGAATGGCGGCGCGTGCACACACACCACCATGTGCGACCCCCACACATGCGCTGCCGCCACCGCTACGCAACCACCTCCCTGCATGTCACGGCCACCATTTTGATTTCCAAAATGGCGGCCGTGACGCGTTTGCACATGCGCAGGAGTACTGTGCATGCACAAACACATTGTGGCAACCATTTTGGAAATCAAAATGGCGGTCGTAGTGCGAGCAGCCACACGGCAGCCAAAACGTACGGTAGCAGCGCGCAGCGGCGCCGATGGTCTGCCTGGGCCGGTAAGTACGGGGACCTGGGCCTTAACTGGCCCGTGGGCCATAGGTTGCCGGTCCCTGCTCTATTGGCTCAGTCCTGGCTGGTTGTCACCAGGGCTGGCACTAACCTGCCTTCTCTCCACAATAATAACAGCATTTCCTCGAACAATGTACAAGGAATATTGAGGTGTAAATGTGAGCATTAGCAAAACTGTCCTGTTACCATGTACAATTTTCATGAATTGTTAGATTGTCGTGAATTTTCATGAATTGTTATGAAGCTGCACATCTGATGCACCTTGTCTGATACCCTGCCTGGTTGTTTTAAAAGCTTTTGCACCCTTCTAATGAAAATGAGCAAAACTTCGCAACCTGGACTACTGTCACTTTCTGCGTCTTGTTCTATGGGAACTACATACAACAAGATAAGGATTTAGGGGATAATCAAAAGTGAAAGACCCTATTAAAATACTATTTGAAAGGCTGAGTATCCAAACTGTTAGTTTCAGACCAGTGAAATGATTAACCCTTCCTTTCATTTCCCATTTCTTCTTCCTCTTGTTCCATACTGGTCTGAGTGATAATTTTGGAAATATAAACTTGTTCTGTAAAGATCAGAGAAGTAGTAAGAGTACAGGAAAGAGAAAGAACATTGTGGCCTTTTCAAATAAGAATCCCCCAATGTAGTTAACTTAAAACTTCATCTGAGCATTTAGAAAAACAGTTTAGGAATAAAAAGAAAAGGATATGCCATTATTTTGCAAAACCCCAACACTAAAGCATAATGTATTATACATGCACAAGGAAGTCTTTCCATTCATGTTCACTTTGAATGTTTCAGGACTCACTTTTGGTGCATCTATAGATGTGTGTGAAAATTCACTCACAACTTTGATAAATGTGCTGACACCATATAGGCATTCAGTGCTTCACCAACGAAATGGAATAATATTGGCTTTGAAAAGTAAGATATTTGAAGGAATTTCAATATTACAGTTTCTCTGCAAGTTTGAAGAGAAATGAGAGCACATTAAATTTTATTAATAGTTTAGATATGCATTTACAGTTGTCCCTCCATTTTTGTGGACTTGAGGTCTGCAACCCTCACTTATCTGCGAGGGTCGAACAGAGGGACACAAAATGGAGTGCGCACCTCTGGCACACACCTGCTTGCCCCCATGGACACACGCCTCCATTCAAGCCAATAGGGCTTGAATATTTGCATTTTTCCTTTTTTTTGTGGGGGCCCCCCGCAAAAAAGGAGGAGTGACTGTATATGCATTTAATTTCTACTATTTTGTTGTTGTTAACTGCCCTTGAGTCTATCTCAACACATGGTGACCCTATGGATGAGACATCTCCAAGACCCCCTGTCCCCCACTGCTCTGCTTAATTCCTGCAACCCTTTAATACCTGTGACCTCCTTAATAGAGTCCATCCACCTAGCATGTGGCCTTTTTCTCTTTCTACTTCCCTCCACCTTTCCCAACATTACTGTTTTTTCCAAAAAGTCCTCCCTTCTCATGATTTGTCCGAAGTACAACAGCCTCAATTTGTCATCTTGGCTTCCAGGGAAGTTTCTGGCTTGCTCTGCTCTAGGACCCATTTGTTTGTTTTTTTGGCTGTCCACAGGATCCTCAGCACTTTTCTCCAGCACCACATCTCAAGTGAATTGATTTTCTTCCCATCATACTTCTTGACTGTCCAGCTCTCACATCCATACATAGTAATAGAGAATACA